CTGGCACTCAGCTGCAGAGTGTGAAGCTGCTTTCAGGCTTCAGCCCTTTTGGCAGCAGTATTGTGCTGTAAGAGGCATAGGCAAGGCAGAATGTAGCTGTGAAGCAGTCCAAGGTTGAAGCAGTGGTAAGAGACATGGAAAAAAAGCCCACTTGGATAGCTTAATATTGTGAATTCCTGTCTTTTAGAAAGTGGAGACCACCTCCACCTAATTCCAGAGACAGACTGCCAAACTCCTGGCTAATCTAAATTAAAACAATTATCCTCTTACATTTTTAGTTTATTTTGGCAATGCTAACAAATTCTTAACAGCAAAGCAAGTCAGTCATTTCTGAGTAATTCTGAGAAGCCCCAGAGGAGAGGACTGGGCAGTAAAAGACATCTGAAAGTTCAACAGATTCTGTTTTTCACCCTCCGGCTCATTGTGCAGAGCATCTGTGGCAGGGTTTGCAAGGCAAATGCAGACCTGTAGTGTCATGAGGCCTTTTATTCTTGTATCCCTCTTCCAGGCTGGCTTGCTGGTTGTCTGAAGATTCTGAACATGAGTATGGTGAATCTGGCTGAAGCTGAACTTTAGAAGCCTCCTGGGTGTTTGGGGATTTGCAAAATTAGGTGAAAGAATGATCCAGTGATGATATAAGCAGGCAGTGTGGATGCAGCCTTCCCAGTGCTACTTAGGCTGACCAACCTGCAAGGCTGGTGTGGCCTCTCATGGAGCTTTTGCAGAAAGTGTTTGAGCAATAAAACAAATTATTATCTTGGATTTCTTGGCTGTTATCTCCAGCAGTGCTACCAGGGAAGGTCTCCTGTGCAGGCTGAACACTTTTACTTTATCTCACTGTGTTGTTCTTTGCTCAGACTGTGATTTATTTTCTGGAGAAGGGAAAAGCTGGTGTTATGTGCTGAGCAGGTTTAGGTCAATTAACCTTACACAGTTGGCCTAGATGATTGTCATAGGTCTCTTCAAAACAAATATTCTATTCTGACATCTATAGGAAATAAAATATTCTAATATAGCCATGAGCTATTTATTTGTGTATGCATATGCAGGCATAAATTTAATATGCAATTTAGAAAAAGCTGTTATATATGCTTCTTAAATTATAGAAATTAATTTATGGCCTAAGGCAGTTCAAGACTAGAAGAGACTGTTGGTTCACTTAATCCATTCCCTTCTTGGTCCAGGCCAGGAATTTGTTTTTCCGAAAACCACGAGAAATGATGTGTCTGGTGAAGAATATTCTCATAAAAGGCAAGGAGTCTTGATCTGAAGACATAGTTGTTGAATTGGTTGTTGTTTTGAGGTTTTTTCCCGATTTTGTTTTTGTTCTTACTACATTTCCTACCTGGAAACACCTAATACTTCTGATTGTTTTACATAACCAGTCTGGATCAAGTGTTTCTCTTTGCATGAACCAATCTCTGTGATTCCAGAGAGCTCAATGCTGCTTGTTTGCTGATTTCAGCTCTTCCAAAAGCAGAAGCATGTTCATTCACTTAGTCTTTGCTGCTAAAACCATACATGTCTGAGTTTGTAAATAGAAATAATGTGTCCAAAATGGACCTAAAGAGCCTACTTCCTCCTGATTTTAAGAACAACACAGTTACAGTCAATTCCTAAAATTTATGAGTAACTGCTGCTTCGTAAAATCAAGACAGAGCAGCAGGAAGAAATTGTGTTTTTAGCAAATACAAAGTATTAATGAGACACAAAGTGTTAAGCATGATTCACAGTTCAGGCTGCTCTCTCTGTTGAGTGTTTAAACTGTGGCATTTCATTATAGCCTTGGCTGCTTTTTATGTATTGTGATGGAGCAGTTGCTAAACCACTGCCCTTTGCCCTACTGGACTGGAGCTGCCTTGCTGGGGGCCTGCAGCCCATCCTGCTCATAACTGGGAGAGATTTCCTTCAGCCCAAGGAGCAAGAGTATCTGAACTCTCCCCATGCTGCAAGAAACTTTGGTGCAACGTGTGCGCAATTCTACCCTGACACCAAAAAGTCCTGAGTGAACCCAACTTCAATTTAATAAAACTCTAGAAGTAGAACAAGTTCAATAAATCTTTGTGCTGGATTTTGTATGGCTTTGAGGTAAACACATGCTTTTTCCCTTTGCTTCTTTTTGAAGAAGGTAGGTAAAAACTCTTGGTTCTGTTCTGAAAATGTCTTGGAAGAAGTGTGTTGAGGGCAGGAAAGGCAAGGGTCGTGTCCCCCTTGACAAGGGCACAGTCTCAAAGTGGACAAGAGGGGTGAAAAAAGAGACTTGGGAAAGATAATCTGGTTCAGCCAAGGGTCTAGGGATCATCAAGAAAGTCCATAGTGTTGGGACAGACCTGGAGTTAAACAGGGAAGCAAATGAGTGGGATGGGTTTGCATGGGACATGTTGGGTACAGGCTGAGCTGCAGTGCTTCTCAGGTAAGGACTTTCCACCTCATGGTTAACTCATTACCAACAGGAAAGGAAAGGGAGATTTTAGAAGTGGCTCTCAATAAGTGGAATTAGACCCAAAGACTTTTTCAGGACACATTTTGTGACTTAGTGTTTCCCAGGTCAGATGTGAAAGGCTAATGAGAAGGTCAGTGTGCTCCCCCAGCTTGTCTGGCGCATGTGAGCGATAACCTGGCAAATGTTACAGCTGATGAACAGAAACAGATGTGTTTATAAATGACCTGTGTTAATCTTAAAGTCGCCAGTCTGAAACCGAACCCAAAGAAGTGTGCATTGGGTTAAGGACAGAAAATTTATTTCTGGTTTTCTGCCAGTGATTTAGTCACTGGAGAATGGGTTTACACAGGCAGGAACAAAAGGAGACGCTGAGCAGAACTCCTTACACCCACCAGATGTGCAGAGTTTTGTAGGATTATGGTGCTATTACTACAGAACATAAGATGGTAGGTTTGCCAATATTGGAAAACATGTATGAGTTGCAGACAAAAAGGAAACTATTTCAGTAATCAATAGAAATGTGATTTAGCAAGTTCAGAGCTGGAAGGCCTGTTGCAAATGTTCTACTATATCTATGTTTGAAACCCCTTCCATATTAAGTACAGATGCTGGAGTAGGCATGTTGGGGCAGTATTGACATAAGAACACAAAAATCTTCAGGGGATCGTTATTGAGGATTCTTAAAACAGAGCTTAAATTATTGCAGTGCTCAAAAGGAATGCCTGGCAGTCATTAAAGCTAGAGAATATTTTCAGCACTAGTGCAGGAAGATCTTTATGATCAGGACAGATCATACATCCCTGAAATAGATCCTGCTATCATGAGAGGGTTGCCAGGTGTTTGCAAAAACTGAAACACTAACATTTTGCAATTAGAGCCGCTTTGTTTTGTGTTTTCTTTTGTTGGCTCTGGTGCAAGACTAATTGTGAAGGGAATTAATGATTTCTAATGAGAATGAGTATTCTGAGGAGGAGATAAGGCATCTTTCCTTTTGGCATAAGTAAAAATAGTGCTGGCTCATTCAGGTGAGGACTGTCTATAGTAATTGACAGCTTCCTAAAGGGGAGTTATATTTGGATGAGTGCAATTAAAAGATGATTTGGCAAATGCCATTTTAGAAAAAGTATCTTTTTAGAATATCATAGTAAAAAACCTCTGCTTAGAACAGGAAAGCACTGAGTGTAAACAAACATGAAGTTGTAGAGGACATGAGAAGAAACCAGATCATGGGCTCAGGTATTAGTAACTGATCAGTTCTGTGGATCATGGACCTAAAGATGTTTTTAGAAGGACCTAGGTTGACCCCTTGCCTGATCCATAGAGGATTATGAAGTGTTTCATGTGCATGGAGCAGGATAAGATCCTTGGCCAGATGGTGTCTGATCTCATGGGCAGGATAAGGGTTTACATCCCTGTTTCTCAAGCTTACATCCCTATAGGATACATGCACCTTCTCTTCCTGCCTGGGCTGTGGAGAGGTAGCCTGTGATGGAGTGTGGATGACAGACAGGAGTGGAAACTGTTCAGGGAGGGTAGCAGGCTTTGCACAGACATGGGGCCAAATTCTCTCCTTAATTAAATTGCTGCAGTTGCACCTTGGAACCAACAGAGAAAATAACCTGGGTTTCTAAATAACCCCCCTGTGTGCTTATATACTGGGGTAATGTTTTTGTCTTTGACTGGTAATGCACTGAAACATGCTACTGGATTTATAATGTCAAGTGATACAAGGGAGCCTGCCCATGAGTAGTGTTGACAGTGTAATTTGATTTTATTGGTATTGTTGGCACTTCATGTGTGGGACATTCTTTTCTGGTTTATTTTTTAATGAGAAACATTCTATGAGATTGTGAAAAGAACAAAGCCTTATTGAACCCCCCCCCCCCAATATTATAAAGAACAGAAAAATAAAACACGTTAAACAATACTTGACTTTTATGTATAACTCATTGTCTTCAAAAATCTGAGTCGTTTCCATCCATATAAACAAGTTATATAGTAGTAACAAAGTGCATGAAGCAAATTGCTAAATTTAACTAAGGTATTAAAATAAAAAGTACTTTAAAACAATACTTTAACACAGTTTTTTGCCATGATTCTATCATGCATCAACACAAAGCAGATCCTGAGGCAACCTGTGCCTTTGACAGTCTTTCTGTATTATTATGTAAATAAATGGAAGTAATGATCAAACTCATAGGAGGGTGAAAAACATCAAGACAAACCATCCATTTATAACAGAGTTGTATTTAAAAAAAATAAAAATCAAAGTGCACTGCTGGTACATCTCATTTGAGCCTACCTGGTATGTGAATAACAGAGGGGCATGATCCAGTCTCCAAAGGTTCCAAGGCTTTGTTTAAGCACCAAGGCAATAAAGAACGATGGCTGTTCTGTTCATAGCACTATGACTAGCATGACAACGGAAAAATTGTACCAGAATATATAGTAAACATCTTTTGTATACTGAGGAGGCAAACACTCTTAAATTATCTGATGTGTACAGTACTGGTACTTAGTGTCTTGGTGCCAGTACCAGACTGGTCCAGTAATTAGCATTCAGATCTATTTCTAATTACAGATAAGGCATATAACAAAAAAGTAAATATTTGGTTATTGATATCTCATATGGTTCAGCAACCCAACCAGTCAGAGCTTATCTTGCCAATTTTAACAATCTTCAAACTCTTGTCTTCCATTTGTAGATAGTATTGATCTTTGAAAAAGTAGGTATATCCTGTTAAAATAAATAAATAAATATGCTCAGATTATGGAGCACATAATTCTTGATCAAAGATTTTGTCTTTGTGATCTCATGAAGCTTAATGAATTGAATGACTTATTTCCCAAAATATTCTTGTGTATTTGTATTATTGAAAAGATATATTTTAAAAATATATTGAAATTCCCATCCTGTAGAAGAGAGCTCTTGTCAAATGGAGCCTTATTAAGGTTTACTTTGTGAACTTTGTGAGCCAGAGTTTTCTGGGATGAAATATTTGCTGGCAAAATAGATGTTGAAAATGTGACTGAGTCAGGACTCATGTGACACCAGTGTTGCTCTCAGCCTTTAGTGCATATCTGTGCAAAATTTAAGGCCCCTTAAAACCACAGGCCAGGATCTCAGCTGGAGTGCATAGGAAATTAAGAAAAATTGCAACCTAGAACCCATTCATGCCTGTGATCAGGGAGATTATCATCCTTGAGTTCTGGTTGTGCCAGGGCAGGATGGTGCTGAAATGATGCTGGGAGTGTGTGCTGGTGTGGAGGAACCTGGGGAGTGTCAGGGAGCTGGGAAACGTCCAAGCCACAAGGACTGGCTTGGTCATGCACCCTGGTGTTAGGACATCCTGTGCATCAGGCATTGCGTGGCTCCATTTGGCTCCTACTCATGGACCACAAGAAATTAGTCTCCAATAAGTTTTTCAGCAAACAAAGAAGAGAGTTTGTTAGTGATTTAAATCAGAATTACAGCTTACCACTGTCCCCAAGGCCCAGGACAGCATCGAGGTTATCTGGAACACCATTCCAAGAGTCAGCAATGAATTTAGGGGATGCAAGCTCCATTTTCTTCTTTTCTTCATTGTACCTGAAGGAAATTATATCTCTACATTACAAATCTGCATTTAATGTTAAATTGTAATATAATTTTTTAGGGTGTCCTCAGCAAATGTGACTGTATAAAACAAACAGAAATATAATAACTGAGATTGTAACATGGTTTCTATTTCATTATAATTATTACTGATTCCTTTAAAACCCTGTGAAATTTTACATCTTTCCTTCAAAAATGCAATGCTGAATTGAAAATACACTTTCTAAGGAAAGTTCTTTCAAGAACTGTAATTTGGATGGGAATCAGTGCTGAGCAGGAGGTGTGGAGGTGTCCTGAGCACAGTGATGTGCAATACAGTTTGAACCAGGCTTCAAGTACAGCATGTGAGGCCTCAATGAACCTTCAAGTGCTCAAGCACCTCTTCAGGAGCAGGAGACTTCAGAGAGGTTGCTTTTGACAGTACTGGAGGGAGAAAACCACTTATGTTCCCAATTTCTATTTATCCATGTCCATAGGTATCTCAGGTTACTTTTCCCTCATTGCTCTATGGAAATACTTGGAATATATCCAAAATTACACCAGTAATAATGAGCACTAGGTTGGTCAAAATCAATTTAATTGATTCATTTAAATTCCTTACTATTTTTTCCCTGGGCTATTTAAAGAAAATCTAATACCTTGCTGGGTAGCTTTAAAATTTCAGCTGTGGAATCTGAGCCAGCTCCTTTTCCCCTCCCTCACAAAACCTTGCTCTGCTCAACAGTCTTGTTATAATAACACTAAAATAGCTTGTGGCTGGAATGAAGGAGAGAGAAGGCTTCCAAAAACCCCATTTAAAGTAAGTGTGATAATGACACAGGAAGGACTATGGTATGTAAGTATTTTGATTCCACTGACAGAATCCTTGTATAAAATGTAACAGCCACATACTTAAGGGTTATAGAGTCTGTTCAGCAGAGATGCATTTTTTTTTCTGAAATGTTTTCCAACTGCTTGCTTTCTTCTTTACACAGATAGAAATCACTTAATCCTATTTTGTTTCCTTAACAATAAATTATGCATTCTGCAGTGACTGCACTTGATAAGGTACTTTGATAGAAATACTGCCTGTGATTGGAGTGATGAATTACTTGGAGGCCCTGCAGTACAGTTAATCAAAACAATAGTTGGTACAGAGGAAACCAGCAGCTTTTTAACTCATAGTCTGTAGGTTTTAGTAGGAGTCTGAAGTGTTGCAAATGGCTGTATTAGAATGACTTGTAAGTGTTTAAATGGTCTCTACAATATGACATTAAAGAATTAATAACATTCTTTAAGTTTTTACTGTTTTTTTTTAAGATAATGGAGAAAATTACTGTCCTCAAAGTAATGGAAAATTATGATCAAGTGGCAATTGTATGGAAAGAGTATTTTATTTACTTACAGGAATCCACAGCCATTAGGACAAAATAAAGTCATTCAGTTTAATCATAACATGAAATTATTATTCACATAAAATGGACTCAATTATACTGAGACTTCCTTTGATATGTTATATAGAACATCTCTCAGAATGAACCCTTAAAGGTTGGAGAATCTTTTAGATTTCTGGTGGTTATTTCTGATGTTTAACTTTCCTCTAAATTGTCAGTTAATGAATGGGTCCACTTTCAGCCTGTTGTGTAATGTCTGCATTCCTGAAGTGAAGTCCTGTTCCTGGAACAGGCCCCTGACAGTGACTGCAGGAGTCAGAGCCTCTCTTTTGTTCTGATGCCATTTTGACAGCACAGAGGTAACTCACAAAGATTCTCCTCTGATTTTAAGATGGTCTTTTGTGCCAGATCTTCCTGGCAATTATGGTAATGAAATTCTATTAAATACAATCATACAATTAGTAGACTCTTCAGGTGTAATGTAGGATATTTATTTCTACTGAAGCCTTGAGACTTTTTAAGGACATTCTTTCTTAATCTAAGATGATAAGGTAAGAGCATGATAGCAGATCACCTGAGTTTCACAGGAAACATGAAAAGGATTGAGAGACTGTCCAAATGAAGTCAAGCTAAGATTTTTCTCAAAGTACTTACAGATACACTTATGGCTTGTTCAGATTTCCTCAGTGCCAACTATATTAGTAGACCAAAGGTGTAAGTGATGGTAGATCAGCTGCTGAAAGGATTTACAGTCATCCCCAGCATGTTTTGGTAGTCACACTGCTGTTTCCTTTAAATGCCTCTAAACCTGATGGCTTAGTGAAAGAATTTCTTAGGCAATCTGGTCAGTCTTTGGATTCAAGTGATTGGAGCTCAGTTTATTTTTAAGGAATTCCTTGTAGAGTTTTCTCCCAGCATTTTTGTGCTGACAGTAAGGACAACTTGCCCCTCTGAAGATCCAGGGACTGATGTGGGGCAGTTGCTGGTACATGGGGGCACAGGGATGAGTTGTTAGTGGTGGGCAGCCTGACAGACACTCCCAGATACCCTCTTCCATTGCTGTTTTTGAGGCTGTAATTTTCTCTAATACATGCCAGTTTCCTGTTGCTGTACTGAAGCATTTCCTGCTGTCAGCACTGTCCTGGCAGCCCTCGTTCTGCATTCCCAGAGGATGTGCCCTGTGTTTGGTCCCTGCCTCCTGAAGCTCAGGGTGCATTCAGCCCTGGAGACAGCTCAGCTCACAGCATCCCACCACCACTCAGTGCATCTTACTTCCAGTATCTGTCTCCAGCAAAAATGTATGTCCTCTTGTTCCTGCCCCAGTTAAAGGCTGCATCCACACGCTGCACATCAGGGGGCAGCCCCAGGCTGCTGAGCTTCTTTGGATAGCCCCTGTCCAAGTTGCTGGCTGAATAAACCCAGTACTCGTTTCCTAAGAAGGGGAGGAAAAAAAGCAAACAAAAACTATTTATTAATAGTAACAAAAGGGTATTTCTTCTTTTTTGCTTTGCCATGTGGCTTTTTATTGTGCTAGCTGAACCATTAGACTTTCTTGTATTTTACCATTTATGATTGCATTCCAAGTGTGCTGTGATTACCACTGCTTTTGCTACTGAAATACTCCTTGCCTCAGAAAAAGACATCCCTGCATTTCTCTTCCTTCCTCCCTTCTTAGCTGGTGCACCTTTGAGACAGACACTGCCTTGGTGCATTGGAGTTATATGCTAAAACAAGTAGTTTATACAGGAAATTTTTTGTATGATGAAAATTGAAACCAGGCAGGGTCACCTGATGTTCAAATACAGCAGTGCATTTTCACCATTTATTTGTTTTGTTGGCCAGTTTTATTGAGTGGTTAATAGAAGTTTTTGCTCAGAGTTCCTGTTGTCCTTTGTCACACAACATTATCTAATGTCTCTCCAGATGTGTACTAGTGGACTATGTAGTAATTTTCCATGTTCTTTACATGGAATTATAATTTGCTTAGTAAATAGCCTCACTGGATTCTCTGAAAGCCAGGGAAAGATTTATTCAAGAAAGGACATTTCTTTAATCTTGTGGTAGTGGGAAAGTAAGTAAGTAAAGTATTTATGTGAGAAAAATGTAAAGTGTAGCATTTGAGATTCTTGGAAGTTATTGATTCACTGTTCAGGAGCAAAAGATGGGACTAACCAGTATTATAAGTAAGGACTATAAGTATTTTAAGACAGCTGTGTTATTTTCAAACCAATCTTTGTTTTTTGATGGTTCTTATTTATTTCTTTAAAAAGGCGGGTTAGCTACGTTTTCCTGGAATTTATAAAGAAAAGGAGAGGTATAGGTGTGATAGCATTATATATAATATATGCCATATTTGAAGTGTTTTGGTTTGCCTGACTAATTTTCGGGTTTTTTTCCCCCATCTATGTAAACTAAAGCAAATGGCCTCTGAGCCATGTGGAATAGATTATCATTACTTTTTTCTCTCCTGTACAGAAAATGTACAGCAGCTTTTGCCATATGGTTTTTACATGACTGGAGATGTTTAGTCATGTTTTTAGTAGATACTGGAGCTTAGGTTTTGCTGGCTCAGTTCTTCATGTTGAAAACAGTCTCACAGCTCTGCTCATTTGGCCACTGCAGCTGAGCCATATGTGGCAGACAGAGCAGAGCTTCCTGTCCTCCTCCTCTCCCATGGAGGCAGCTTGCCTGTATCCTCTGCCTGATGAGCCACCAAGGAAGATGCTTGGAAGCCAGAGTGGAAGTCAGTCCTTGGCAGGAGACAAGGAGAGGCATGAGGAGGAAAAAAATGTAGTCTTCTCAAGCAACATGTGCTGAGATAATAGCTTAAAATGGAAGGAAACAAGAAAAACAGAGCAGGGACTGAGGAAAGAGAGCTCCCACTGTTGTTGTTGCTTTGCATTTTAAATAATGATTCTTGTTTGGTTTTGCTTATTGTTGAATGTCTCTTTTTAGGTGATTATAGTTCTCCTTTTGTTGTACTGGAGTCTGAATGCTGTTTTGAGTCTTTCAGATCCAGCTTTTGTCCTAAAATCCTCAACTTGTAAATAGGGAGATTTGTCACCCAACCTGTCGGCTCTGCTGGCTCTTAGACAGGCTGTTCCCTGTCCCAGGTACATTATACAAATGGATACTTCATTTTGAAACTTAAAACCCATACCTGTAAAAAAAAAATAGCCTTTAAAACCAATACCTGAGAAAAACACAGCCTTCTCGTCCTGAGGGGCCTCATAGACAGCATCAATTTTCTCTGGCAGATCAGGCCAGAATGTAGCAACAAGAAGAGGACCTGTGGGTTTTCCTCGGGGGTTTATAGTCCTCCACATGAATCTGAGCAGAACAGAAAATTGTACAAGATTTACAATGAACTAATTCATCAGCACATCTGTTTCTCGTCACATCTGGCGCAGCCGCGTGAGCACGCACACACACATGCACACACTCGTAACTCTTCTCTCCACTGACTGAAAAGCAAACTCATTTATTTGGAGTTTATGCTGCTAAAGGAGCTGCACCAAAAGCTGCATGCTGGACTGCAGGTGAAATTGCTGTGCTGATTGTTCCTGTTGCTTTTTTTGCATCGGGGCAAAATTTATCCTCTGCTTTGAGTGCACAAATAAAGTGCTTTGGGCATACAAATAAACTCATTTACGCAGCATTTAAACTGTTAGAGCCCTCCTGGTGCTGTGGATGGAGCAGATGGATGAGCATTTAACAAAAAGAGAGTTTTGCATTCCATGAACTCTTGCAATTACTACTGTAGGGACTAAAAGTTCAAATTTAATAGCAGTATATCATAGTGCTTGGAAGTGAGTTTGGCTGTAAAAGAAACTGCTAGCACTAAAAACGTTCATTAGAGAAATGCAAAGGGTAATTTATTGGCTATTTTATGTATAAGGAGGATGATAATTTGATTTAAGCTTTAAAAAGCTCTAATTATCTTTAAATGGCAAAGCTTTGTGCTGAGGGCTTTTGGTATTTAAAATGGCACTGCTATTTCATCCTCCATAGAACGAAGAACTTTTTTTCCCAACAGAACAAAAGTTTTGACTTGGTCATAAAATGAAAAATCAGCAGGTTGGTGGAATTGCTCTTGCACCAAGCTGTAGTCGTTAAATTCTGAGGTCAAACTGCTTTTACCATTCATATGTTTCTGAAGCTCAAGGTGCTACTGGCATTTTAATTTTTTGCAGAGTATAAATTGTATTACCCATTCCTGCCTAGAATAATTATACCTTTGAGAAGCCCAGGATATTAAACTGCATTTTTTTGGTCTAAAATTTGGAGGAGCAGTCCTAAATTAATTTAACAAATTGCTGTATTTTTATCAATAATGAAGGTAGCAATATGTTACCCTATCCATATGTTGTATACATAGATGTATTTTTAACATGTACAAAAACATCTCTGAGCATGACTCTTAATTTTCATTTACAAAAGAGGCAAAGAATAAGCCATCTGGCTAATTACTCCTCTTGAAAGTGTTAAAACACATGTGGCATGCTGTAATAGGTAATAGTGTTCATTTCATGCATCTCTTTTTAGACAGAAAAGAAGATCCAATATAATATGGAACAAAAATTCATATAGAAAATCTTTATAGCACAGCATTCATAAAAGCAGTTCCTTTAAAAATCCAAGTTACAGAATTTTCAGTCACTTTGGATCTGATTTATGGCTGAACCAGCTCCAGTAATTGCTATCTGCATGAATTCCAAAGTTTCCAGGGCCAACAGAGACTTAACACCAGGTTTTTAATAAACCACACATTTCAAGGGACTTGTTAAATTGGTGAGATTTTCTTTTGGAAAGGGAAACTGTCAAAGATGAATTTTATTTTGTTTTTGAATTGGGTAGAAGGTATTTATATTTCTACACATCTTACTGAGGAAATGGTGAAATTAATTATTTGGCTTTCTCATTTCAGCTTGAACATAATAAAATGTTTTAACTCATTCATAATAAATCTTAATATTACATTTATAGACAGATTTAATAATTTAGTTACACCAGGTATTTACGTCATATTTTAACATAATCTGTATTTGCAATGATGATGATGATGATTTTTATATGCAGTTATTTAAAGTGGGTCTTTTTTAGTGTCCTGATAAATTTAAAAGTGTGAACTTTTGTTCACTCTCAGCATAAAACCTTCTGTGGAAATGCTGGTTTTGGGCATTCTGTGCCCAATAGAAAAGCTCAACTGTTCTCTATGCCTAACAGCCATAATTCCTGTAATTCCCATTTCCTGGTAATTTCCTTTCCTTGATTTGAGGTGGGGAGGGAAATGGTTTTTTTTTGGAAAGAATTAATCATCTCTGACCTCCTTTTTGCTATTTACTCTCTTTGCCATGTGACAGTTGGATTCTCTGGTAATTTTCATGAATCATAAAAGTCACACGACACATGAGAGACAGTTGTTTCTTGAATTCCAAAAGTGAGTCACAATGCTGTTTGCCTGATACTTGGAAAGCTGCAAGACTGACAGGCAAAGCCATCCCAGAGCAAAACAATTCAACAGTTGTCTGCTTTTGCTGCATGCTGCATGCAGGCTGAGCCAGTCTGAACAGATTGTTTTGGTATTTGCATAGTTCTTAGACCAACTGTGTCTAAATGCAAAATACTTCTATTTTGTTGGGATTATACAGAATATTGGATCGCTCTGCTGGTTTAGGAATAGATTTTACATTGTTCCTGTGTGTGACTGCTGGTTTGCAAGGGCAGAAGCAAGGTGGAGGTCTGGCTGAAAACCCAGGGCCACGAGTGAGCAAAGGACGAGCAGGAGCTGGGAATGGTGTGGAACGTGGTAGGGCTTTTACTGCTGTGAGAATGTTTTTCCTTTGAACATTCTGAGCTCAGGTGAATACTTCAGCACTCTGATGACTAAATTAGCAAAAGTGGGCGCTGTTTTTGGCAAACTTGGTATGGGGCTGTGGGGCTTTGTGTGAGGCAGATCTGTGGGTACTATGGGGCCATTTGGTGGCCAAGGCAAGAATGTTCTTTGCCAGCAGGGATCACTGGAGTCATGGCCTGCTGCTGACAGGGCCAAGAGAAAGAATACAAAAGATATCAGGGTGGTCCCCACAGACCAATTGAGGCTTCTTACTAGCAGAAAGTTTAAATTCCATTTCTGTATTGCTAAAACACAAAGCCTGTGATAAAGATTAAGTCCAACTTCAAACCTAAAGCACCATTATGCTGGATATCATATAGATTTGATCTAAAGGGAAATACATGGAATCATGGTATTTACCCTTAAAAATCAACTAACTAATCCTGGTTTTTTTGTTACTGAAAGCTGGTAAGTAGAGTTAAATCATGCAGCATAGTAATAAATGCTTCATATATCTTGCTGAAAAAGGAGCTAGAGAAAGGAGCTTTAGTGTCTCTCACAATGGTGCTGCCAAGTCCCATACTCCTTAGGAGATGCTCTTCATTGCTGAGCAGTTGGGTAGCACAGGCTCTGGCAAAGGCAGGGGGAGCTGCAGCTGAGCTGCCACCTCATTTTATGAGGAGTGTTCCTGCTTTTGCATCCAAAATGCCTTTGGTGCCTTCTGTCTTGGAGGCTTTGCACACATGTGGCCTATCCCAATCACCAGTGTCCTTGATGTGTTGTTACAGCACCCATGAGTCACATAATGCTGTTATTTAATGACTTTGGACTCAGCCTGAATGAAATCATTTCCATTTCCTTAGGAGTTGATCGGGACACTTACCCATCTCTGAACACACAAAACAAAGGGTGGATGTTGTGCCTGATAACGAATTTCTAGATTTTGGTGAATAGGTCTCACAGATTCCTTCACTTGAGGTTCTCTTGATAAGCAATTTATCTCACTTACCTGTCTTTGAAGAAAAACGTTTCTCCTCTAATTTGTGCTACTCCATCAAACACAATTTCATGCTTGCAGAGCTCTGGAGTGACAGGTCCAAGGGTTGGCTGTGGGCCTGGGCCTGGGCCTGGTCCTGGCCCCACATCAGGTGACACCTCTGTGATGGTGAACAGAGATATTTTGTCACATGGAAATGAAGGGCTGCACAGGTTATGTGGAGAACAAGAGCTGCCATGGTTTCTAAAAGGGCAATCATTTGGAGAGGGTGCTTGAAGGAGGAAGAACTGATAATGAGATCTCTTCAGAAGAAGGGTGGTTGAGCAGAGCTGAAGAAACCTTGACTTCCACTCCTGCCTTTATCCTCTCTGTGGCCTCTTTTGAGACGTGGGACCTGTGTGAGTCTGTCTGGGCTGAGCTGCCTGTTTAACCTGAGAGATAATTACAAGTGACTACACTGGGTTCAGAAGTGAACATTACAGTTTTTATTTTGCTGGCTTCTAAAAAGAAGGAAAGAATAAAGATAAAGGTTTCAAAGTCCTTGTACTCAGAATTCTGTGCAGCTCAGCTGAGAAAGATGTCAAAGTGGATTTATCTTTTTTAAAGAAGTGCCAATATTTGGCAAGTTACAAAGCTGCATTTTGAGCCATTTGTATGATCTTTCTGCCCTCACCAAGAAACAAAATGTGCTTTTCAGAGCATGCATTTTGCCATCTGGTTTATTTTATTTGGTATTATTATTTGGCTTGAGGCATTTGCCTCTTTTTCTCAGACATTGGGTTAATTTACTGTATGAGAAAAAAATTGAGTGTAGTTGATTTGTGATAATAACAAAGCGAGAAAAGTTCTTCTTGAATCCTTATTTTACATGGAAAGCTGTTTGTAAAGGGTTATATGAGTTAGAAAGATGAAGAAAGATAGTTTCATCTTGGATCTTGAAGCATGCTTTAAGACACCTGGGTTAAGTTCTGAACTCTTATCAAAGATACACAGTGTGGGCTCAGAAATCTCACTTAATCTTGACCATGTCTCAATTCCCATTCTTAATTAAAGCAGCTAAGAACAAGGAATAATGAAGATTCAAATCAGATTTTTGTCTCGTGTGATAATATTTTTGGCATATTCTTATTAAAATTTCTGAGGTGGGGAATACTGTAGAATATAGTCACAGTTAAAAAGATCTCTCAGTAGAAAAGTGACAAGCACAGAAAGAAAAATGGAATATGGCAATGACTGCTTAATTGACTGTAGTGTACTGGTGCCTCTGCAAGGTGGAAAATGTATCCATGGAAGGAATCTTAATCATGATACCACTTATGCATTTTACTAAGACCATCTGTGGAGAAAACAACAAATGCTAATGATAAAAATACTTACATAAAAATACTTAAATTCATTTTTTCTTTAGGAGTCTGCCTAATACATTTGCACTGAAGTTTCAGCTCCCACACACTTTCTGCAAATGTTATTGTGATGGTATAGCTTGAATTGTGGGAAGGCAATGTGAGCTGTTTCCAAGCTGGGACACAGGAAACAACGTCCTTCCCCTCTTGCAGAGGGCCACAATCTGGGAAGCTCAGAGTTTTGAAAGAAAGTAACATCCAAGCCCACCCATTTCAGGTATTTCAAACTAGAGACAAACACAGCATTTCATTGTCCCAGTAAAGGCACTAGAAGATTTTATCTAAAATTTTGTTTATGGGGTGTGCTCCTTTTCATTCAGTAAATTTAGTGATCTGTCATCCTTAAGTTGTGATATTTGATTGAAGTAGGAGGCCTGGTAATATGAAGAAAGCAGGGGGAAAGTAGCAGAGGATATTTCTGGCATTGGTGGGATTGGGCTGTTTGTAATTTACTGCAAATCCTGAGTCCCAGATTTCAACCTGTGCTGGCTGATTTTCTGAAGAGTTCTGCTGATGGGGGAGGACTTTACCATACAGCTCCTGGATCCCTTTAATGTCATCCTGAGAGAGCCGGAAGTTCTTGGTGTAGGTGTAGATGGGGGCCATGAGAGCTCCCGGGTCCTCGGAGTGCTCTAATCCCATGGCATGGCCAAACTCATGGGCAGCAACCAAGAAGAGACTGTACCCTGAATGACACAGGAGGACAGTGTTAGCTGCTTGCATTTAAATAGAATTGCACCACACAGGTTATTCACAATAAATAATAAAGCTTAATATTTACAGCCTCCCATGGGGAACGTCACACCTATTGCCAATAATGACATTTCACTGGAGAGATTCTAAAACCTTCCTTTGTGGGTGATCTTGGCTGCTGTCTCCCATGCAAGTGACTCTGAGCACAGCCTTAATACTTGTGTGAGAAAAGGAAGCGTAGCAAATAACTTTGGACGTCTCTTTTAGGTACAGAAGAATTGTACTTGCAATCTAGATATCAAATCTTGCTTTTCACCATGAAATGGCTTGTAAGTGATAAACAGGTCTGTAAATGTGTGCCTCTGAGAATAGACTTTGAATCAGTACTGGTGTACCAAATATTGTTAGGTTAGAAATAACCTTATATCATAGAATGAGATTTTATCAATTATGCCCAAACAGTCTCTGAAATTTGTCGCATTTCTTTCTTCCTAGAATAACCCCCCAAGTCTAGCATTTATTTGTAAAGATGTAAAAAGCCTTTTGCCCTTGTTAAATTATGACAAATATTAACCAAAATAATTTTAAATAATGATACTAACCACATAAACTTTATACTGTCTCACTTTTTGAACATGTTTTTCATCCTTCCCAATATCACTCATGAATGTATTAATTTTTTACATTTAGTGTTTGCTCCTAATTTGTATCAGTGTATAATTTATTGCATACTGGTGAAATACTATAGCACTTGTGGCTTTTAGCCTCAGAAGAAAAAACTGGTGGGGAAAAGATCTATTTATTCATTAATTCATTTCATGGTTTTGAATTTTGGAAGGATCCTGCATCACTATAGCTTTAGAAAATCTCAATATTTCAGACAAGCTCTGGGTGTGACTCTAGCTGTCATCTCACGCTTCAGTCCAGGGATTTTGCTGAGATTTCAGCAAAATGCAAATTGCTGGAGCGATGAGCGTGACATGATTGCAGAGGTGCTGCCATGGGCACTGCCCAGCGAGCCCTGTGTTGTGACAGGAGGCGTCACCTTGGTCGGGACAGAAGCCCCACTTGCGGTCGTCGTCGTAGCTGCTGGTGGAGGCGCACCAGAGCTTGCCGTCGCTGCGCCCCGCGCTCGTGCACGACTCGTACTTGTTCCCCAGGAAGATGAAGGGGAACACACAGGGAGCGCCCTCGGAGTTCCCACCAACTGTTGACATGGCTGTGCAAAATGACAGGAAAACACTGTGAGAAGGGGGTCCCTTTTGCACATCCTTAACTGCACTAAAGCAGGAAGGAAGCAGAACTAGTGTGGTCCTTCTAAAAATAAAAAGAGTAAGGTTAAAAGTAATATTTGAAAGTTGCCTGACAGAATTAAAAAGGAAAAATTCTACACGTTGCGATTGCGATAGACTTGCCAATAGTTTTGGTGGGGGTGAGAAGGAGCCCTGGACTCATGTTCACAGGTCTGGGAAAGCAGCAGTTGAACTTACGCATTTTACTAAGACTATCTGTGGAGAAAACAACAAATGCTAAAGATGTGGCTACATAAAAATACTTAAATTCACTTTATTTTTTAGGAGACTGGCTAATACATTTGCACTGAAGTTTCAGCTCCCACACATTTTCTGCAAATGTTATTGTGATGGTACAGCTTGAATTGTGGGATAACTTTCTGCTTTATCTTCTTTGAAAGGTGATTGTGTGGCAAGTATCTTTTAATGATCATTCCTGGTGTTATTTTAAAGTGTTTTAGAGTGTTTAGGTGGAAGGTAGGGTTAGTGTCAGAAAGGTTAAAGATCTGTTGAATATCCACCTGGCTGGAGGGTGTCCCACTGAAGAAAAAGCTTTATATTATATTATATTATATTATATTATATTATATTATATTATATTATATTATATTATATTATATTATATTATATTATATTATATTATATTATATTATATTCAATATATATAATCTATAATATAAATATAATATTTAATATAATATAATAAACAGCAGAATACTGTTGAAAATCATGTGAGTTTAAACATTTTCTAAAAAAAAGGATGTATTAAATGGGGATAACTTTTTTTAATCCATTATGTTTGCAAAAACTTGAGAAATTTTCCTGTGTTCTCATCTATGTAGTATATGGCAGTAGTATATAAGAAATAATACTTGTATGTGCAGGTACAAGTATTTCTAAGGCCATTTTCAAGAGACCCCAAAAAATCAAAAAGCAGGATGCATGTAGGTTTGAATGTAGCTTCCCAGTGGCTCTGTTAAAAGACAGAGATTTTAGAGCTGCCATGGTTCACTTCATCTCTATACTTATGGCTCTAGTGTCACAAAATGAATACCTGCCAAGCTATTCAACACTATAAATTAATTTTTGTTCCTTTATATAGTAACACTCAAGTTAGGAAGTATGAAAAAGTGTGAAGAAAGCTGAAATTTCTTTTCATGGCTAAACCATTTCACTTGGCTTTTTCGAATTGCTGAAAAGATCTATTAACACAAGTTTAACGTACTAAACAGGATTCCTTTTTACAAGTGTACATTGTAAGTATGAAGCTAAAATAATATTCATACTTTCTTCTGTCTCATGAGACTTCCCTTCCAGGGCCATTAACAAATTGTAATCTGCTTGTAATTATCCTGCAGTGGTAGCCAGGCATTTGTAGGTTCATTGCCATTTGTATTCCTGACAAACCTGTGCTGATTGCTCCTGTTCCAGTTACATCCTTGGCCACCTCTGCTGAAATTTTGTTTAACTCATCAACTTTTGTGTGCTCTGGTGAAAGTGTGCCAAAGGAGACTTGTTAAAACAATGAACAAGCAAGCAAAGCTCCTCATACCAGTCTCTGGGCAGAATCCGTATTTCTTATCTCTGTCGTAGTCTTCAGTGGTCCCGCACCATCGGTACCCGTCTGTCCTGCCTTCTGTCGTGCACTGCTCGTAGGACTGGCCTTGGAATTTGAAGGGAAACTTGCATGGCTGCCCATCACCATTGCCACCCATTGTAAAAAGTGCTGCAGGGAGAAGAGAAGGGAAAATGTGAATACACAAAGCTCAGTATCAACACGGAATTCCAGTGTGCCTGTGGGAATGTGCCCAGGTCTGGACAGACAGTGGACACCCATCAGATGTGGTATGCTTCACATTCAGAACCTCTGTTTTACACCAGCACTGAAATGCCTTGGCAAGAGAGACCAGGGCTGTTACAGCCTCACAAGTGTGCAGAAGGGAATGACTGATTGATCTCAGCACAAACTCATAACACAAACTTGATATTCCTTCTTAAAATAGCATTTAGAAACTGGGTTCTGAGCAAGTCACTCATGTTCCTGAGCTCTGTGCTGATTCATTTGCCTTCTGTCAGAGATGCTGGCTGGAATGGCAGATTTGGGAAGAGTTGCTCAAAATGCTGGTGTACAGTAAAATTGAATAATAACCTGTTGGTTCTTCCTCTATATTTGCTTCTATATTTCTGAGAATCCCTGCTCAGCCACTCAATAGGGAAGCTGGAGAGGACAAGTATGACTGGTCCAAGAAAGCTGAACACTGGAGGCTTCTCCTGTCCTTTGCTTGGTCAGTGCTCCTGAAGGCTTTGTATTGGTCTTCTGGGGGAGGGGATGAAGAGTGTTTATTGTCAGTCCATATGCACAAACAAGGCCCCTTGGCTCAACCCTGAGAACCAGAAACCTTTCTCATGGATGAGGGATTAAAATGGTTCAGATTAAGATAACTTGAGTTCTGGGACTGGATTTAGGATTTTACTAAACTTTCTGGAATATCTAGAGGAAGACAAATACAATCTCACATGCTGATGTTTAAAAAAAAAAGCGTGTTCAAATTGAATTTATGAAAATGCAGGTGACTTGGAGTATCAGACATCTTGTGAATCTGACTGTGTCTTCTCCTGGCTGCTCTACCAGTGGGACTCCTCTGTGGTAGGACAATGTGCTGTGCCATGTGCTGGTGAGAGGAGACTGTGAAAGCAACAAACTGCTCCAGGCCTTGCCCTGAACAGAGATGAAAAGTCCTTCATGCATTCATATGCTAATTCCCCCGGAGTTTTAAGAAGGGCACTACACGATTTAGCCTTTTTAAGGTGTCCAAGGGCACCTTTTCCCCTGTCTCTCATCCAGTTTAAATCCAAATATGTATGTGGGAAGCTTGGCAGGTTAATTCTAACTTTGGTGCTGTTTTTGATGACTCAACAGCCATTGCAGCCTCAGTGTTTGTGTAGGGTCTGAGGGGCTTTGCTTTTGCTTAGTCTGATGCATAAGTGGGAAGAGGCATTGTTTATGTGTGTGCTTCTTTAGAGTAACACCAAATAAACCCCTCAGACCTCTTCTGGCCTAAGGGTGATTGGGAAAGGCTTCTGACAGTGGGATATTGTGACACAGATGGTGCATTTTGCCTTTTGCACTTAAAGCAGTAATTGGCCACAGCATGAGGGACATGAAGCAGTAAGTTATAGAAGTTCCAGTCCCACTAATGAGAGGATTGGAGCTTTGCAGGCCTGGCTCACACTCTTCTGCTCTGCCTTCAAGAGTGATTCTATCCTTCTTTGTCCTGGGCATGGATGGGGTCCTGTCTGCAACACACCCCGTGCTCCCAAAAAAGCAAGCTGCAAATGTTGGTTTTTGTCTCAGATGCTGTGCTAAGATAGGAAAGGTGCATTAAGTAGGACTGTGGCTATTGTGATTGGAGAAGGACTTTATATATCTTTTTGAAGTAATGATAGAATTGGAGAGCAAAGTTAAACTGAGTTGTTTAGATGACTCATTTACCATGAGCTGCTTCCAGCTCTAGGTCTGGCAAACTCTGCATTTTAATAGCCTTTTTTATATTGGTTTACATGTGGCTAAGTTGCAAAAACCATATGGAAAGCCAGTCTCAGTTTGCATGCAGCCTTTCTGAGTCACAGTCAGAATGCAGTTTTTCATTTTGCTTGAGGCTACATCATATGATGGTAACAACAATGGTTTATTAAGTTTTCAATCCCCCCTCCTTACTATAAAATTACTTTAATGTTAATGAAAGTTGGAGACTGGGGCAGTTTCCCTAAAACAAAGGGGCAATTTACTTGTAAGGGGATCTTAAAGGGCCTTGTTCTGCCTCATGGTAAGCTCAGCAATTTAAAAACTGGTGAAGATACACTGACATGAGAGCAGATTCAGACTGGGCATTACTGATATGTGAACTTCACTTTTAGCTCTTCCTAGAAAAATCAACCAGTTGTGATGTCAGGAAACCTCAGGCTGGAAAGGTGCTAAAACCCCCGTGGCACTGATCCAAGGTGGAGGTGGCTGCAGCTCCAGGAGGGCTCTGCCAGGGAGAGCTGACAGGCAGCAGCCTGTAGGAGCTGGGGTGAGTGTGAGGCAGGGAGCAGATTGTTAGGTCTTGGAGGACCAAAGTTAGGAGCCTAAACTGCCTGCAGTGTCAGTGGAGTTTGGAAATGAGAGATATCAAGATCCCTTGATCCCAAAGAAATTCAGCACACCTGTATAAGATTTGTGTAGTAGGTAGATAACTTTCTGCTTTACCTTTTGCTTTGACAAACTATAGTTCAATCAGTTTACAAATTTGGGGTACAGATCTGGGATTGGCTTTAGAGAAGCCTGGTGCAGCACCATAGCAGTGAAGATGTTGCCATACATGCACTGTGGCTCTGTAATGGGAAGAGTTGGAACTAACTTCAGTGAGTTAAGCATGAGAGAAACAAAGGCCAACACCAGGAATGCTGCCCCCAGCACAGAGTGTCTGATGTAAATCCTCCCCTATCTGAATGTATTAGATGGGGTTTAGCAAATGGTGCCTTGGAATAATGAGTGAACAATGCCACTCTGCATTTAACAAGAAACATCTGTGCATAACTGTTCATGGGTCTTGCAAAACAATTACATCAGAAACAAAAGGCTGAAACCCTTCTGTTCCATTTCAGAAACCTTGACACTGGCATTTCCAGGAACTTCACTTTCAGAACCAGCCCTCTCTGACAGGGCTTCACTGCTCACATTTTCAGCCTTGCATGACTTTAGGATGTTACAAACGTGTATGAGTCAGGCTATGTGGATTTCCATTTCTTCAGCTGCCTATAATCTGGGCTTCCTTCTGACTGTATCTGAGTGCTTGCAGTATTTTAAAGAAATGAGCCAAATTTTTATCCTTTCTGGCTGAAAGAATTAACCTGAGGAAGAGGAGGTTTGGGGAAAGGTGGGAAATGAAGGAGATGAAAGTTTCACAAAAAAAAAAAAAAAATTATTGTGCAGTTATGTGCATGTGCACACTTATAGCGTGCTGAAGTAAATATCCTGAAAGTCATACCACTAAAAATAACTTTTAAAAAAATTAACTGCAGTCTTCATACTCCTGCTTGTTCATCCTCTATAGCTGTATAAATAGCTGTCACCAGGGTAGATCCCTGCTCTAAATGTGACTTATAACAGGTAATTAGGGGTTTTGAAATTAAAGAATAACTTTTTATCACATTAGGGCTAGAAGAATGATATGTTCTAGAACAGATTGTCTTTGGAAACCACCACCATCCTGATGCAGAAAATACATAATCTTGTATTTGAAACTGTATGGTCCTGCTTGAAAAAGCCCAAAAATTTGTCAAGCAGGAATACATTTAGTGTTTGACTACAACAGGATTCCGGAGAACCCTGTTTTGAATTTTTTCTATGTACACATACCTGCAAGCTTTTGAAAAATGCATTTTTTTCAGACATATACATATTAATACAGGTACATGTGTGACAGGACTTGTGTGCTGGGACATGTTGGGCTCTACCTGAGCACTCTTGGGCTGGCCAACCCCTGAACATGTGTTGTTAGTTTAAGGCATCACTAATTTTCTTTCAGCCATCTGCATTCTCTTTCCTTGTACTGACTGCATGTAGCCAGAATATTGTAAGTTTAGTACTATTGTTTCAAGCAGGATTAGCATGAATCTGGAAAAAAGCACCATTTCTTTCTGGTTTGTTCTCTTCCAAGACTCTCCTATTTGTTATGACCCAGGGGTAGTAGGCAGGAGTTTTAGTGACCCAGGGCTTGATATGAAAGGTAAAGATTGATGAAACCCTCCCCAAAGCTAATAGTTGGTTATGTACAAAGGGGAAAAAATGGATGTGGAAACTGCAGTACTGGGAATGGCTGTTATATATGTGCCAGGAACTAGCAAACAGGAGGTGGAACAGGTGGCTGAAAGCACCTTACCATCTCTGCTCTTCTCACTGCTGATAAATTATCTCAGTAGGCTACAGCCAATTATACATTATTGCTTCTCTAAAGGTTTCCTGTGTGATGTACAGGAGCTGAAATTTACACTCATACCAATAAATTGTCTGAAATGCTATATCCTCAAGCTGTAAAGACTCATCAAGATTTTCAAACACAGAAATATGTGTTCCTGTTGTTTTAACAGGAAACATATTGTCATAAATACATTTGAAAGATAATGATAATCTTGTATACTTTAAAAATTTTAAAAAGTTATGGCTACATGATGACATTATGCATTTTGTCTAATCTGCAAATTAATCTTTCCAAATATGAAATAAAATTCTTGTGAAAGAGAGTTCTGTTCAAATTCCAAAAAGGTAGAAATGAAGTACAGTCCATGAAAACTTCTAAAACATTAGAAAGACATTCTGAAAAAAAACCATTCTGAAAGACATTCATTCCTTTATCTGAAAGGGAAAGAAGTGGGAAAAGCACAAGAAGAAGTGGATGAGCAAAGAAAAAGGGAACAGTTTACCAGGAAAAACCCAGTAGAATCATTGTCTACTCACACTCATGGGGACAAAATCCATATTTCCCATCTGCATCGAAGTCTTGGGTTGTGGAGCACCAGAGGAATCCATCACTGCGTCCTGCATCGGTGCAGCTGTTGTACTCCTTGCCATTGAACCAGAAGGGAAATTTGCAATATTCACCATCTGCATTTCCATACTTCACTCTGACCACTATAAGGAGAACAAATGCAGTGGTGAAATTAGCCACCCACTGATACAAAAAATACAGTTTCTGGGCATCTTCTTTTCCTGGAAGGTACTGATATAGAAATGCAGTCTGAATTTTCACTTTGAAATTCAATATGCTGCTGGTCTCTCTATTGGCAAGATGATCATAGCTGAAATATAAACTGGTAATTTTAAAATAATTCCATGGATATTACTCATGGTGAAGTGTTAGAATCAGCCCAGAAAAATATATGTGTTGTTACTATGGCAAGGCAAAGTTAAAAAGGTGCTGTTAATATATTTAGTAATTTAGTTTCTTAAGTAATATGGTCTAAAACGTTCAGTATAGTTTCAAAGGTTCCAGGCAGCAGCTGAACATGAGCTGAACATGCCTTGTGCCTCATAAACCACTTTGGTATTTCCAATGGGGCTTGCATGACATTTGCTGTAGCAGAGGGGACAGGGTGGAAACACAGACACACCCAGATCCTGGGGTTTATTTCAGTGTGTCACATGGAGATTTATGAATACAGTATTGGTGCTGGAATATGCACTAATGCATAGATAAGTTACTTATGGATAGCATTTTTTTAATGGCAGAATTTTTAAATTATGTAAATGAATTTTCACCTCCTAATATTTACTGACAGTCAAAGAAAGCATTTAATGCAGCATTAAAATAGAGCAGCCAGCAGGCCATATGTTCTGAAACATGAAAAAGTCTGGTACCTTGTCCCTCCCCAAGAGTCCACAGCTCATCATCATCAAAATGGGAGTCTCCTCCAATTCCTGGTCCTGGTGCAAAGGCATGAGCCAGGAGCCCATCTTTGCCATCAAAGGGATAGCCATCACCATGCTCTGCAGGAGTGAGCAGACAAAAAAGAGCAGTTTCTAATGATCTCAGGCAGAGTCCATACATGAATGATGTGTCCTTTCATGTGTCCTTTCCCATCCAAGACAGCAGCAGAATACTTTAGTGAGTGAATTTACTGGTTTGGGTTGTACTAGCAAGACTGATCCAGAAGAGAAGCAGCCAGTTCTTACAAAGAACATGAAGTGTCAGCACTGCAGCTGTCACAGGATGGTGTTTTATATCTCCTAAGTGTGGTGGAAAGAAATCAAAAATTGTGAAGAACAGTGAAGTGTAGTACCTGAGACGTATGACTGCACACACAGTGCTGTTTCTTGGTGGGAGCTGATAAGGAGTTGTAACTTAAAAATTGTGTATGAGGGATATTTTCAGGTAGTTCCTGCCACTCTCCAACACAGAGATTGGAAAGTGAAGGCAGATTTCACTTTGCAGGCTGCTCTTCTCTGCTGCAGCTGAGGTTGCTGTGCCCTCTCCTTTGTGCAGGGTACTCAGTGCCCCAGCAGGAAGGCACAGCTGGCGGTCTCAGCAGTGGGCTCTGTAAAGCCAGCTTGCTCCTGCTGCTCTGAGCCCTGAAGGAGCCTGCTCCTCCTTCACTCCAAGCACTCCAGGACTCAGCAGCTCACAGGGCAGCAGCAGGTTAAGCAGCTCTGCTGATATTACACTGAAGGATTTTCTTGGAAGTTCACCACTTGTGGGAAAGGAGGCTGGCACAGGCATAGCCCTGGTATTCATAGCTCTCCCACCACACTGACCTGTGCATCAAAGCTGGCTGCCAGCATCTCCACTTGCATCATTTCTGGGCTTTTGGTCTGATGTCTTGGCATTTAACAGAAGCCCTAAATACACAGGCCTGATTCTCTCCTCTGTTACACTGATTTCAGGCTGGTGTCACTCCTAATACTAGCTCAGTTAATTCCCTTCAGCAGACCTGTGTGTCTCTTGTGAAGTACAGGATTTTGACCTATATTAGGTACTGCACCTCCCATTTATTTCAAAGTAGAGCCTTTACTTAAGAGAAGGGTTAAAAATGAAGAAACCTCATGGATGTCTCAGCCCCTATGAATCTGACCTGCAATAAAGTGATAGCAATGAGTGAATGTGGAAGGAGCTCTTTGCCCACAGTTTCTTAGCTGGCTATAGCCAAGTACTAAAACCAGCAGAAACACTTCTGCTTTTGTAGACTTTTTTTTTTGCAAACCGAGCCAGTCTGGATGAGGATCTGAAGTCCTGAGTGTACAGAATCTCTGCAGCTTTTGAGGTCAACTCATCAGTAGCTAAAGCAAAGAAAACCAGCTTGAAATGAAAGCTTTTACAAAGAGCTCAGTTGTTCTTTGAACTGTTCACTTAACTTCCAAAGTCTACCTCCCAAGAAATTGGCTGCAGAAGTATCTTCATTAGTATTAAAAATTCTGTGACTATCCAGAAGAAGTTAAATGTCCCATGTTTACACTGAAAAGCCATAAAAATTTTTTCAGGGGAAACCAAAATTAATTGAGAAGACATGCACAATGAAAATGAATCATGTCACCCATCATCAGCTGTACTCAAACCATAGTTCAGCTTATAGTATTTTAAGTTCTTCAAGATCAAAGAATGCATTGAAAGCTTGCATTCTGCCATGATAAAAGAATGGAAACCAGCTATAGAGTCAAAATTGGAAGTCAAAAATCCATTTTTTAAGCTCTAATATGTTAGAACCCTCACCACTGTCACTGGAAAACAGATATACAGAACTATAACTACAGATATACAGAGCTATAAATAAATGGTATGATGGCATTCCATTCTCTTCTGTGGCAGGAAGCCAGCTCACACCATCTGAAGATCTATACCAATATGTCTCAGTTCTATTTCTGATTTGTAAATTTAAAAATAAAATGTTGCCCCTAGCAATTCTCTTTTGGAAAGATAAATATAGTGTAAGTATATTGTATAAATACTTCTCTCTTTCTAATGTATAAGAAAAAGTCTTAGTGGAATTAGATCTTAGCTTATATGAGCCAAGTGTGAACTAGGACAAGGCCTGCCAGAAAAGCTCATGGGTGCTACTTATTGAGGGTGGATCATTCTAAACTGAGGATTAATGACAGGAACAAAACCAAAAACATAAGTAAAAATAGAAAAATATACCCCATCGACCAAAATTAATCATAATGTCTGCTTCTCCATCGTGTATCCGGTTAAATCTCAGCGGTGTGACATCACTCCAGACTTGAAAGGCTCGAGCAAAGGCATCATCTACTGTCTCAGGGTCCAAATCTGGGGTGTAGCCTATAATCCTTGGAGGTAAAAGGAACAGTGAAGTAACACACAAACATCCTCCCTCTGTTAGCTGTTTGCTGCTCAGCACACTGAGGAGGCTCAGCAGTGAAACCAGCTGAGAGGTAACACTGAGACCCAAACACCTCCCTTTGATTCCGAGATGAGTTTAGATGTGGCACTTACTGTTTATTTTCTTTTGGAATTGACTCAGCAGCAAGAAGAAAATTATAAACCCAGAGGCTGTAAAGCCTGGATGGCAGTGGGCCTTGCACAAAACATTCTGCGTTTTGCATCAGCACTGAGACCAGGAAAGGAGCTCAGTAACATTCTGAAAGTTTCAAGTGTGAATTGTTTTGCTCTTTAATAAGAACAGAAAAGCAGCCCTTCTCCCTCACCTTTGCTGCTATCCATATATTGTTTAATCCCTGTGGAATGCTAATCCTTTATCTGTAAGTGGGGTACATGACAATAAAATACATGGGGAAATAGGAGGAAAAAGCATGTAAGACAAAGCTGTAGGCCCGACCTGAGAAAGGGACAAACTCTTAAGTGTGCTGCTTTCTTCTTCTTTGTATGTTTTAATTGGACTTAGTGCCTTATATTATAACCTGTTATATGTAAAGACAAGTTTCCAATTCTTTGCAGCACAGGCAATGTGCATAGTGAGAGAAACTACTTTGTGCCTAAGGAGGATGAGGAAGATTCGGAGAAAACACATCCGCAAGCAGGGGCTGTGAGAGCTGCCACGGGTTTTTTCAGTCATTATTAGGTTAGGTGCAGCCCAAGGAATGCTTTGAATCCAAACTTGTGAGGGAACAGCAGACTAAGTCAAGCAGCTGCAACAAATCTGCTGGTTTTTCTCATTGGTGGTAGATGTTTGCTCATGGGCCACCTAAGGTAATGAGTTTTTTACCACAATGAGGGCTGTATTGGTCCCTAACTCATCAGAAGAAGATGAAATTAGAATATGGCAAACTTATTGCAATAGTTGGAACTTGTTACTTGATGTAACTCATGTTTGTATGTATCTGAAATACAGTTGTTTGATTTTAAAATTTATTTAATCGTCTCGTTTTTAGGACTGCAAAATGAAGAGGAGTTTGGCCTCTGCAATCAATGAGTACTTTGGTCCTCCTGGAGCAGATGGGCAGGTGAGATGCTCCTGCTCCAGCTCCCTTGGGATGCTCTCTGCAGAGCAAAGAGTAAACCCAAAACCTCTTCAGTTTCAACCAGAACCGGAATGTTAATATTACAATTTGAAACAACAGAGGTATTTGTTAGAGCATTTGGTGGTTATCCAAACACCAGGGGGTTCTAACTCAAGGACTCTTGTCTAGCCCTCTGAACAGCTACTGCATTTCTAAGTGCCTTCTTTATTTCTTGGAAGTGCTATGGGTATGTGTGAACAAACCCCACCATTACCAGTCTGTACCTGTATGTTATATGATTCTTTTCCCATTTTGGCTTTCTTGCAAAGAAGTTGTAATTGGCTACATCAGGGTTACCACAGCGGGGTTTCTTCATTGTCTCAATAGTATTTTGATCCAGATCTCCTGTTTCAGGCAGCCCAAAAAATTTCTGCATTTTCTTCAGGGTATCTTTCAGGACAAATAAATTGCAACTGTCTTTTGGGCAGCCATAGTATTTATTCAGGTATTGCTTGGGAAAAAAAAGCACAGAACAAAGACTTTAAAATTCATAAAATAAATAGTTAATCATTATAAATAAGTACTATAATTCCATGTTAGCTTTCCTTCTGTAATTTGCAAGTTTTCTTTTAAAAATTACAATTACTAGTAAGTGAGGGATCAGCAGAATCTTAATTGACACAAAGCATCCTTGATCACATGATGTTGCAAATTAAACAATCATTTCCATTCTTAGCTATCATCTTTACTTAATGAATTGCTTTTAGTTATTAGAGCATAGAGCTGTAATGTAGAACTGCAAAGTAAAAATGGGTTTGTCTTTTTTTTTTGTTTCTTTATTATATATAAATCTGCTTACAGTTTTAGACTTTGTGCAATGTTTTCTTGGAAGATTCTGCATTATTGAGAAACTTCTCAAGAAATCAAAGCAACCCCACAAATGAGACCACACTGATTGCAAAGAAAAACCCCATTCTTTACTCAAACCAACAGAGTTGTTTGAGTGTTGGATGTATTTGCTTTTGACTCAGACATTGCAAAGACCTGAGGAAGAAAGTATTTGGTAACATCTCAGTTTCTTGGACACTGCAGCCAATCAATATTTGCATACTTAAAACTCCATTGAATGCTCCAGTACATTATGGCCAGACTGATGCTTCTGATACAGCTGTGGTGGCAGTTCACAAAATTCTTTCACATTAAAAAAAGAGTGGTCATAAGGGACCCAAAAGATGGCACAAATCACATTAATTTCATCTCTTAAAATAACACCCACAAAAGTCTTCTCCCCTTCTCCTAAGGATGGGTTTACAGTGTTTTATGCCCCTCTATGAAAGAGAAGCTACGGCCATGAGAAAAGGCAGGTATTCCCAAAGTGCACCCACATGGGTGCTTGGCACTGCACAGAGCTGAGGGATGCCCTTGCCAATGGTGCTGTGAGACTGGAAGGTTGCAAGTTACTGATCTTCCCAGTAAAAACAGTCTGCAGCTCAGGAGAAACACCCTTCAGGTATTGTAGCCCAGATATTAACTACGAGTCCAAGGGAAGAAAACACCTGAATAAGGTAAAGGTACATTTGCCAAAAATAGACGAGGAATATCAGGGAGAACTATTTCAAACTCAGGATTACAAGAAGCCTGATGAAATGACTGCACATTTAAGTTCTTGTGCCACCAAGTATTCCCAAGAGAAACCTTGTTTCATGTGTCTAATTAATTGCTTAAGTTCACCCAGGAGACTGGGAATAAAACCACAACACCGGCAAAATAAAGCAGAGGATATTTGGTAACTGCAGTTGGTCAAGCCTAGCTTTCACCACCCTCCTCAAAGTCCAGGCCAACCTCATCTGCCCAGCATAGGAAATGGTTCAGGGATTACTCAGAAAAGGATTTAATCAAGATGTTACACCATTTCCTTCAGAAGGTCCTCCATCCATCACGACTGAGCACAGACTGTGGCTAGTTTTTGTGATTTTTGTAACCTCTGATGTGCTATTTCTTCAGTGGGGACTGGCAAATAAAGGACACACAGTGGCTTCATCTTTGCTTCCACTGAGCTGCTCTCCACACATAGTTAATGGGGCCTGGTGGAAATTATGTGAAATGCATTGAGAGCATAATCAAATAAGCCAGTTTGGTTCCTATCCTAATTTTCATTTCATGTAGTTTGATGGGTTTTCTTATGCTTCTGCTTGCATCCCCCAATGATGTACCTGGTGTGATGCAGACTGCACGTCAGGACTGACTGAGGAACCAGGCTGCTGCTCTTGCCATTTTAGGTTTGGGAGCAAGCTATACAATCAAAACTTTAAACTGAGCCATGGTGAAGAATTTTACTTGATAGGATTCTAAATAAAAAGCTAACCAACCCCTTTTAGTTTTTCCTAAAATGGAGATTTTATTGAAGATGAGAAATGACCAAGATCAGCTGTTCTATGAGGAGAGAATCTTAAAGAAAATGTAATGTCTATGCAAACCACATCTTGGCCTAGGCTGTGAAATGCAGTTTCCTCAGAGTCAGCAGGGAGCTGTGGTGATCTGGAATTTTGATCCAGCCCATTAATGAAACAGGGTCCAGCTGCAACATAGCAATTTGTGTTCTGATGCTGAGTGTTGGGGCTGTCCTGATGGAGGGCGTGAGGAAAGGCAGCCAGTTAGCATTGCCCAAGAAAGACAAAGAAGGACTGCAGTGTTAAAGCAGCTTGTAATTTTCCTCTGAGTACACATAATAAATAGGTTGTTTGAAAGAAACAGAGATGAGGGGAGATGTGGATTGCAGTTATCAAATAAAAGCTTGGCTGTGTCAAAGAAAACAGATTCTCTTAGAGAGGTTAAATTGCTCTTAGACACGTGGGACCCCACTCTCCTCTCCCAAATGCACTGCCCCTGCCCCCAGCTCTTGGCTACTGTGCTGCTAAGGCAAAGCCTTGGGTGCATTTGTTTTGTTAACTGCTGAGGAATGCCCTATTTGGGTCAGTTTGTCTGTTTTTCCTAAACTTTCTGACACAGCTCCCAACTGGAAATTCTCTCTGTACCCTCCCCCAGACCTTCTTTAACCTGGCAAGCTCTCCCAAGATGCACACAAACTCCTAAAGAAAAGTGACCAACTTTCCAGTCTCTATGTCCCAAAATAAGAATAATTTATCTCAATCCTCCTTAAAATGGATTTACTGCTGAAGAAGAGAAATAATTAGTCTATAATTTATCTATAATTTACAAGCTAAAATAAGGATAATCCATCTCAATCTCACTTTAAATGGACTTCCCCATAATGTCACTTTTATGAATGTCCACAGGGCTAAAAAAATGTTAGAATAAAATGCTGTAGAGTTAGAGCTATAATTTGCTAATATACAGAAATACAAACTCCTTTTTTTGTTCCAGATTGGATTTGGGAAAAAAAATTCTTTAAACCTTGGTGAGATTGTTTTCCAAAGTCAAAACCAGTCACAATGGCTTCTGAAATTTGAGCCAGCTTTCAGTTGTAGTGTCCCTTAAAGTAGTGTTTATGCAACCCACAGTAAACATTCTGGAAAACACACTTCTGAAAGCTGTATATACATTAAGGGAGTCTCAACTGCCCTCACTTCTACTTGATTTAAGTAAAAAAATTAGATGTCTCTTATTTGCCCTTCTCCCCTCTTACCATTGCAATATTTTGATTATAGTCATGATGATTTCATGAATATATTTTGTACCTTGAGACTTAAGGGAAAAAAAACAACAAAAAACCGACTTTCTTTGCTGGCTTAAAAAATTTTAAGAGAGGAAACATTACTTGGCTCCAGTTTTAACTTTTGAAAGCTGATACCTTTGCTAGCCAGCTAGCACTTCCAGAGACTCCAGGGAAAGAATGCCACAGTCATTCCTTAGCCTCAGCTGAATCAAGAAAGAAACATCTGCTTATGAAACAACAATAGAAATCCAAAGCAAAGATGAAACCAACAACTTACCACTGCTAGCTCTTTGTCTGTTTTGGGAGTGCTGTCTCCAGGAAACTTAATGATTGGTGACGGCGCGGCTAAAGTTCTGTTAAAAAGATAAACTTGGACGAATAGTACTTTAAAAACGAAGCCACGGCCAATGTGAGTCTTCATTCTGCCTAAACTTGTGCTCTCCTCTTTGGAAAAAAGCTTTTCCCCACCGTCCCTCCGTTACTTTAGCTGCAAAGTGCACCAGTTGCTTATCTGCACATCTTGACTCTGAGCACCGTGCTCCCTTTTGCTTGCTCCAGCAGTTCCTTTGTATGTTTAAAACATCCAGATGCGCAGTCTCAAGCTACCACAAGAGGAAGTCTGAAAACTAGTGGAAACATGAGAAAAGGGCAGTTACCAGATGTGATTGCTGTGATTTTAAGGTAGCAACAGGCAGATCGTTACTATTGCTAAAAGAGGCCACATTTTCTCCTCATTTGCATATATGAAAGTATTTATTTATGCCATAGAAGAGGAAAAAACAAAACCTGACTTAATCTTGAAGACAAGGTATCTCACATATATTTTAAATTTAAAAAAAAAGGAAAAGAGAAATAAATTACTAAGCATTATTTTCCTGGCTAACCATTTTTTACTATTTTTTAGCCTATTTTTTGGCATAGATATAATGATATATTTTAGTCATGTGTGATTATGCTCCCACACAGTACTTTACAGCAAACATTTTGATGATGGATTTTGAGACAGACCCTGCACAGGGCAGTGCAGCTGAGGCTGCACAGAGGGTGGGTCTGTACTCAGGGCTCACCGTGCTCCCTGTGAGCCTCGCTCCCTGCCTGCTCTCTGCACAACGTGCAGGGCTCGCAGGAAGATCATTGTGGCTGGTTGGGTCCAGAACCAGCTTTGCCACCAGCAGGTATCACCTTACCCCTATAGGGTAAAATATAATTAGGCAGATTCAGCAACAGAAATGAACAGAAATAAAGGATGTCAGGGAATCTGTACAAAATTCAGTGTTTGCTTGTAATGGGAGTTTGAGCACCTGGTGCAACTGCCTTAATCTGAAATTTTGGTGTAAATATGGCCATTATCATGGAAAGAAATTTATTGTGTCATTCATAATATTGCTGGCTTTGAGGTGCTATTACAAGTGGAATATTATGTTAGCTGAATTTCCCCAATCTAGCGATTTGGCTCACGATTTTTCAAGATGGGAAGCTGGCAATTCAACATGATTGCAATCTGTGTTCTGGGCAGCCAAGGGTCTACTGTTTCTACTGAACACAAGTCCAGCTATGAACATTCCTCTGACCTATATGTCACCATAAAGATTGCCAAGGCTTTCCAATCAGTGCTAAATGAAAGTTTTCCAGGTATGACTTGTTATCAGATAGGGCTGCTAATATGCAGGTGTTTCATGTTCACTGATATTTGATAATTGGTTGTAAATAGTTAATATTGGCAGTTGTTAGATTTATGCTAATATCAAGCTATTTTGCTAACTGCACCCCATCATCCATGATGTGAACAGCCTTTCATAAAGGCAAGGATTTCAAGGAGAGGGCTGAGGGGCTCAGGGAGGAAGCATTTGCAGGGGATTTGCTCCCATACTCTTCCACCTGGAGCCCAACAGAGCAGTTGTACGCAGGGCTGCTGGGTGAATCAGCTGTGGGAAAGGACACTTGAGGCTCAGGAGAGAATGAGGAGTTACAGGAACTTGTGTGTGAATGGAGCTGTCTTTGTCAGCAAGTGGCTTTGTATTTATCCCCACTCATCCTTTCAGGAATGAATCTGACCTGACTTGAGTTACAGTGAACAACTTTCCCCTAATGGCTCAGCTTTGAAATGACACATGCATTTTTAGCTTTTCCCCATCAGCAAAAATCCATGGTCATTTAAAGTGTTGCCTTAATAAGCACAGCAGTTCTGAAAATATGATGCTGTTTTTCCAGAGCCTGTACTTGGTTGTGGGGAATGACTCTTCTGCTTTGTTTGTGATGACAGCTCATATTTGTATCTGGACATGTGACACTGCAAGAGAACAAAGGCCAAGGAAGCCTTCACTCCATGTGCCAAGTTACTCCTGGGTCTCCTTAATTAAGCAAGTACAAATATTATGTATCGTGTTGCAAATTCTGCAGTTATCTCTGTGCTCCATGTCAGGTCAAAGACTGATGTAAATCTTAAGGCATGAGAACCACGTCATTTTCATAAGAATTTTAATGTAATTTATGACAGCTTAGCAGCTTTCATTTAGAAGGGTACTGTGGTGAAGCTGTTTAAAGCCAAATGTGTCCTGGAACATTCCAGTTGCACTCATAAGCCTCATTGAAAACTAATGAATGCTCTGTTCTCTGTCTGTCCTAATGAATATTGGATCAGAAATGGATGAGGAAACTTTGAATAGACTGTGATGTCTGTGCAGTTTGAAAATCTCACTGTATTCTGTTTCTTATCCTTGCTGGCAGGGAGGGTAGGTTGAGGTCATCTTTTAAATACACTTTGTAAAAGAAATTGGCAACAGAAAGCAACAGAATAGACCTGCAGTGAAGCATTGTTTCTCACCTTTGTTTGCATTTTTGCTGGTAAATTGCTTTGCTGGTACTACTTCAGTGTGTGAGCAGTTAAGCAAGTTATGTTCAATTAGGAAACATAATACATAATAGAATATTTGATTTATGGGTTTTGGGTGAACCAACAGATTGAGTTTCTGAGCAGTGAGTGAAAACATTCTCTTTCATTAGCACATGACATCAGAGATACTGGCTGAGCTGCCCTCTTTCAGATTGGCAAAGCAAAATAAATTCTGGTGACACTTTGTTAGAGTAGAAGTCCTATTGTATTGAGACTATATTCAGGGTAAAATGCTTCTTATCTCCTTCTATTTGTCTTTTAGCTCTATGCCATCATCCTGTTCTTAGTGTGCTACAGAGGTGCTGCTTTGACAGGCTGGGAGTGCAGTGGGGCTCAGTCCTGAAGTGGGGACATTCTGCAGTGCCTGGCCTCTGCTTTGAGTCTGAGGTTGGGCTAAAGACTCCTGAGCTCTGTACAGCCCAAATTACCCCATCACCCCACCACTCGTGCTGAATTTGAAGACATGGTATGATGTGGTTTCTTATCTCAGACTAGATAAGCCCAAAGTCAGGGAGACAGGCCCTGAAGGGTCTGAGGGGATGTGTTCTGACATTGATGGATTGACAGGATAACTGCTGTTAGTGTTTGCTGCAAAGACATTCCTCAGCCCTCCATTCTCTGAAGAGATTCCCTCTGACAGTAATTAGTGGCTTCTGGGTAGACTTCCTAGAAGTTAAACATTAAAGAAAGAATACAAAGAATACATTAAATACAAAACACAGGGGAAGAAGAAAAAGGCCTGCTGAGAAGAGAACCTAAGGCCATCCACCAACTTTTTGGAAGAGCTGAAGCCCTAGTCTAGACCTCCTTTCTCTTACCTTAATCCTCTGGAAGATATTTTGGCTATGTAGAGAGATGCTACCTCTGGATTAGCTACAGAAAATGAACAGAGTTGTATCTCCTACTACTGCCTTTATGTATTTCTGGAAAAAATTAATTTCTCTGTTGCATATAATTTCTATATTAGGTATTTATCTCATAAACACATTGAGGTATCTCTCCTGAGTCAGAAAAGGGTCCTCTATAGTTCCTGAGTTTGTTTCAAGTTAGAACCACTCTATATTAAAATTTTAAACCATCTGCTTTGTGAGTAAGATGCCAAGTGTACTTTTTAAATGTCTACTTTTGTACATGAATAGTTACTGTGTGGCAGACACAGTCTGAGAAGGCAAATACCTCTTTTGAGGACATACTTCAATAATAACAGTAAAAAGGGAATAGTGATGTCTTTTGAGTTGTAAGCTACATATCTAGCTAGATCTGACTGTGAAAAAGAAACATGAGCATGCATTAACATGCTGTTTTTATCAAAGGATTTTTCTGTTTCAGAAAATGATTTTTGAAATGATTCAGAAGCACTCAGCAGTTTCAAGATTAGACTTCAGATGGTGTCCTAGATAATTTGCTTACAGAGTAGACATCTCTCCAGAAACACACTGTAGCAATTCCTACTGTCACTAATTCCAGAATTTTTTCAGAAGCTGATCATTTCCTCATGGTTTCAGAAGAGTATGTTAGGCAGAGTGTCGTGAGCACAGGCCATGGGAGGATGGTAAATTTGTTCCTGGTGGGGTTTCATGTTTTAAATTGAAACCTGTTGCTAGGCTGAAGAAATAAATAATCATCAGGACAATTAAGGTCTTAAGAAAACAGCTGATCCTCTGATTACCAACTCAGCTGGTTCTAACTGGGTGCAGTGGGATGTGTGTCTGCAACTATTGCAGTATTTGTATATAACCTCTTCTCATGTGTTCTCTAGGTCATGTGCTGTCAGTTTATAGCTTCTAGTTTAGGAAGCAAAACAAGTTATTAAAGTAGATGGACTTGCATTGATTTTAGCAGGATTTGTGGAAAAGAAATAACTGATTAAAGTTGCTGGAGCTGTAGTGTTCTCAGAGTTTTGCAATCAGAACTTATAAGGAACTGGAAAACCCAAAGCTCAGGTGATGGAAAAGTTTGCCTGAACTTCAGGAAAGGTGCCAATAAAAATATGCCAAGGTCCAGTTTAGCCAGACCTTTGGCTACTTTTTGGTTTTCCAGGGTTGCCTTGTGACTCATTCTCTTTTCAGAAATCCCATTTTGCAATTTCTCCTGGATCAGCATTCCAGAGCCTTTCTTCTTGTCTGAGGAAGAAAAACTTATAAGTACCAAGAAAGCAAAGAGCTTACAGAAGAAAGCCTGGGACTGGACTATGCTGAAAAAGGGATTTTGATGTCTTGTACCACATGTCTGACCCTGTAGGGCACTGTGGTAGAAGTAGCAAGGCCACAAGCCTGGTGCCAGTGTGAGATTCCCAGAGCCTGAGGTATGCAGGAATCATCTGCTCACTGCTCTTTCTCAGGGCACCTCTCCTGGACGTGGGCCATCTACACAAATAACAGCAGGGACACACCAAGGGTCTGCTTTCTTTCTGGGGTTTGACACTGGCAAGTCAACTGAGCTCCAGGCAGCTGCCTTTCAGTG